GCCACTCCATCTTGTGCCACTTGGTTCCACTGCCACTGTCTCTCTCCTGGGGCGTCTCTCAGCCAAGGAGGTCCAGCACAGGAATCTCAGTTCCAAGGACACGCTCCACTTCACCTCCAGCTCTTCTCTCTCTATGGCAGTGAGATGCCCTCTCTGCCTCTAGAAGGGCTCATTTTAAGCCTAGCAGAGTGACAAAACTAACCAATCCCAACATCAGAGTTCTACACACCTTATTTGCATGGTCCCACTCAGTAATCTGGTGGGAGTTACAAAGACTATGGCTAGAAAAGCCATACCAAGTAATTCACTGCACTGCAGGTTGACTCTACTTTGAGGAGGCAGGTCTTCCGCAGTTGTACTTTGAGTGCCTTCTGACCCAGGTGGTCATTTTCTGATTCTGTATCAGTCAATGTTTCATGGCTATTCATAAGTTTTCCAGCAATATATCAGACAATGTTTCACTGCTATCCATAAGGTTTTCAATGGTCAATTTTTTGAGAAATGGTCAATTCTTTGAGAAGTAAATGGCTCCTTCCTTCTTGTGAGTCTTAGTCTGCAAGCTCCGCTGAAACCTGTCTACCATGGGTGATCCTGTTGGTATATGAAATACCGGTGGCATAACCTCCAGCCTCCCAGCAATATGCAAGCCACCACAGTATGAGAAACTGGCAGACTACTGGTGGTTTCAATTTGTGAATATGCTAAAAACCAACAAATTGTACACTTTAAATAGATGAATTATATGATATGTGAGTTATAGCTCAATAAAGCTTTTGAAAATCAAAACAAAACAAGCCTTTTCCTTTCCAATCTAGCCCTAAAACCATTAAATAGGGCAGGAAAAGATATGTGGTCAAGCCAGCTGGAGGTGGGAGGACACGGTAGCTCAATCCAGAATGGGATGCCTGAGTTCAAGTAGGCTGAGGTGGGTTTCCACACGGGAAGAAAGCTTGGTACAGGATGTCCAGAATTCAAAGGTGTCAGAGTTCAAGCAGAATGAAAAGGGTATCCATGAGCGGAGATGGCCTAGTTCAAGATGAGGAAGATGTCCATACTGAGGAAAGGTATAGGGTAGGGATTCATATTATGAGAAAAGCTGAGGGGAAGCTTCATGTAAGTGGGAAGTCTGATGAGGAAATTCAGAATCCAGAGTAAAGAGGGTATCCTTCCAGGAGGCCACCTGGTATAGTTTCAGAATCTGAGAAGGAAGGGGAAGGTGTCCACAACTTTTCATCTACAAACCTCAAGTTAATGTTTGACACTGTTGTGCCACCCTATTGTACTTCCCTAATCAATTTACTTGAGATGAAAATTACTTCACAACTTTCTAGCCTCAATCAACCTCTTCTCCTACCATGAGCCAATGACCTCAGTTCTTTTCTTACTGACAATACAGAAGCAATCAAAAGAGAAATTACTCACAACATGGATAGATCTTGAAAACATTATGCTGAGTGAAATAAGTCAATTACAAAAGGACAATTGTTTAATCCTATTTATATGTAAGAGACGAATGTACAGAGACCAATGTTTACTAGTGGTTACCAGGAACGAGAGCAGATGGAAGGTGAGTCTTAGCTGAGAGTGCACTGAATTTCTGTTAATTGTGGTGGAATAATTTGGAAACAGATAGTAGTAATGGTTACACACTATGAACATAACCAGTGTCACTGAACTATACATGTAAAAACATTGAATTGAC